ACTTACTATAAAGCTACAGTCATCAAAACAGTTTGGTGTTGACATAAGGTCAAAAATATAGAGCGATGGAATAAAATAGAGAGCCCAAAAAATAAGCCCTTTGTATAGGGCTAAATTATCTTTGACAAAGGTACAAAGACCACTCACTGAAGAAAAAACAGTCTTCAATAAATGGTGCTCAAAAAACTGGATGAACACATGAGAATGAATGAAGTTGGACCTTTACCTTATACTACATACGAAATAAATTCAAAATGAATCAAAGACCTAAACATAAGAGCTAAAACTATAAAACATAGGGTAAATCTTTATGACATTGGATTTGGTGATGATTCTTTTAATATAACACTAGTAACACAAGCAACAAAAGTAAAAATAGATAAACTGAACTTCATCAAAACTAAAAATTGTATGCATCAAAGGAGACTATCAAGTGAATGAAAATACAACCCACAGAATAGGAAAAAATATTTTCAAACTTTATCTCTGGTAAGACATTAACATCCAGAATAGCTAAAGAACTACAAATCAATATCATCATCATCAACAACAATAACAATAACAATAACAACAACAACAACAAATCCAGTTTAAAATGGGCAAAGGACTTGAATAGACATTTCTCCAAAACTATATAAAAATAGCCAATATGCACATGAAACAACATCATTAATCATTGCATTATAAAAACCACAATGAAATACCATCACTTCACACCTATGAGGATGGCTATAATTTTAAAAACTGAAAACAGCCAAGTGTTGGTGAAGATGTGGAGAAAGTGGAACTTTTGTGCATTGCTAGTGGAAATGTACAATGGTGTAGCTTCTTGGAAGACAGTTTGGTGGTTCCTTAAAAGGTTAAACATGTTATTATATAATCTAGCAATTCTATTCCTAAGTGTATACTCAAAAGACTTGAAAGCAGGCACTCAGACAGATTTTTGTACAGCAATGTTCATATCTAAAAGGTAGAAACAACCTTCTCCCCTCTTTGTCCATCAGCAGATATATGGGTAAACAAAATGTGGTATATACGTGCAATGGCATATTATTCGGCCTTGAAAAGGAAGGAAATTCTGATACAGTCTACAACATAGATGAATCTTGAAAACATGCTAAGTGAAATAAACCCAACACATAAGGACAAATATTGTATGATTTCACTTAAATGTGGTATCTAGAATAGGCTAATTCAGAGAAACACAGAATAGAATAAAGGTTACAAGAGCCGGGGAAGAGGGAGGAGTGGGAAGTTATTGTTTATTGGGTACAAAACTGCTATTAGGAATAAGGACAAGGTTCTAAAAATGGATACAGTGGTGATGGTTGCATAATATGGAGAAGGTGCTTAATGCCACTGAATTGCACACTTAAAAATGGTGACAATAGTAAATTTTATGTTATGTATATTTTACCACAATAAAATTATGAGGGAAAAAGAGTATCGAGGTCACAGATGTCAAATCCTGAGAATCACTATCACATGCTTTTAGGTTGATTCACCCATTGTCAAAACCTCTGACCCAGCCCATGCCATAGCCCTATCCTCTTCCCTACATGCAGTGCTTTGTAGAGCCACTTCCCTGTCCCACATGGGCCATCACGGTCCTAATGTGTCATATAAAGCCAGCTTAGATTACCCGTTCCAGAGAAATGTGGAGCTTTGGAATCCATGAAATGCACAGCTGAATATAATTCCTTGGTAAAAATCTTATCTGGGGAGAGAGAAAAAAAAATGACATAGATGTTAGCAGTTCAGTTCATCCCTCTTATGACCAAATCAAAGTTGTGACAGAAACAAGGAGCAAACAGTAAGGAGAATCACCAGGGATCTAGATGAACGAGCCCTACAACAGGAGGATGTAGGATGGAGTGAGGAAACGAGGCTGCCCGGTCTCCAGGAGCTGAATGGGGCAGAGGCCAAAGCAGAGGCAGCTGCAGACGCCTCTTAAAGAGGTCATGTTAGTGAGTGGACTTTTGCAGTGACGGGCCTACCCGCTCTGAGCACCAGCACTGGGTCGGCTGTTTGGGGGACACCAGGGACTTATAGAGGGACACTGACTTGTCAGAGTGAGGGCTGAAGGCACAACTCTCTCTGTACCGAAGTGCCAGCAGTACCCATTGTTCCACTGTTGAGCCCTTCCCCCTCCCAGTATGCAGAGATCGCTGCCATAGCTGAGACATTCTCAAACTGGATGACAGAGGTCGCTCTGCCCAGAGGATTCCCTGAAACTCTGCCTCCCCCAACTCACGGCCCCACCCAAGCCACATCCAGGTGTATCCTCAGCAAGTCAGGTGCTCCTTGCTGAGCAGCGCCTAGACTCACACTGGAGGCAGCTGGCCACAGTTTCTGGTGTGGCCTTTTGAGGCAACTCTAAGCACAGCATCTGTGGATTGCTTGCTGAATCATAACAGGGGGCCCCGGGGGG